GCATCATCCACCTTTCTAATGACATGAAAATGTAAAGAAAAGAAAAGAAAAAAAACACATGGGCTGCTGGCAAATACAGAATGCCAGTTTATCAGATGTGCTTCATGGAAGGGGCACTGCTAGTCTTTCTTTTGCTTCATAAAATGATTGAGATGTGCACATGCTTTCTGGAAAGTGCTTTCTAAGCTGAAAGTTAATCACAACTGAAACCTGTGATATGTTTTTACAAGTTTCTTCTGGAGAACAAAGGTTTCCTTTTATAGTATAAGCATTCTTTGAGGATTAATGAACCCCAACTTTTAATAAATACTTAAGGGATAGACCTGCTTAGTTGCATAGGTTATTACAAGAGGAACAAGAAAAATCCTTGGCTACTTGCTGTAGTTGGAGCCCTTCTGCATTTCTTTCTTCACTATTTATTTTAATAAATTCTAGGTGCTCTCAAGGTACCACAAAGCAGATGGAAAAAGTTGAAAAGTGCAGTAATTTTTGCCTAATGAAAAAGGGTTGGCATTTCAAAACTTTTGATGCTTGTTTTTCCTCCTAAAACATTATGATGTAACTGAGGTGGAACATTTTATTTGAGTTTGAAGATGAAATACTTTAATTATAACTGCTCAAGTCATTCATTTGCAAAGCTATTTCCACAGTAGCTTTAACTATATATCATTATTAGGCAAGGTGACTCTGTCACAATGACTATAATTTCAAGTTTGTCCTACAATTTTTTCTGTTTTTCTTTATCCTTCTTCCCATCCTTCCTTATTTGTTTTTTTTTGAGATACAATGTAGATATACTGTTAGAACTTATGATCCTGCCTCAGTCTCCCAGGTAGCTGGAATTACAGACATCTCCCATTGCACCTAACTTCACAATTTTCTTTCACTCAATCCTCCTGTACTTTTTCTCTTTGGTGTATCAATTACACACATTCAGGGTGCGGTGTGCTTTTTATCTCAAGGACAGTTTTATAAACCATGTGAATGCTTTGAAATCTATATCAAAAAGCATTAAAAGTCTATATTAAAACTTTAAAAATAGAAAGTAAAAATTATAAATTAAATATAAATTAAAAGTTTAGATCTTTCTAAGATAATGTCTGTAGTTCAGTATTTTAATACATCAAAATAGCATTTTGGTTCATTCAGTCTAACATATGTATAAATATATACGCATGATTATGTATGTGTCATGTCCATGTATATATCATAGAACATTTCTTTGCACACATCACTGAAAATTAAGAGATCATATGCTAATTATCACTAGTAGTACTTCATATCTCAGTAAACCTTATATGACAAAATAATCGCAAGCGTCCTACTTGACTTTCAGACAGTGTTTTCTTTACTGGAAGCATGCGTGACCAAACAATCTCTAGAAATCCTCTTCATAGAGATGCCTCTTCCAGAGATATTACTCAGAACTCAGTCTTCTTTCTACAGAATATGTTCTAGTGCCAGCCACCCATTCTACTTAGACTACAGATTACTTACTGAACACGTTGACTATTGTTGGTGCCTCAAACACGTTGTCCTCTGTTACTAGCATGCACACAAATCTCTTTTGATCACTGATCTTTGCATTACTGATAGACAGAGTGTAGTTTTCTGAAAGACTCAATCTGTCTTTATATTCTGGGACATCATCATATTGCACACTTTTCTTTGTAGAGGATCTGAAGGCAATAAATACTGGGGAGCCATCGGGCTTTTCCTAAAATTTAAAATAATAATACATTTTAAAAGCAAGCATATTCAGATGATTCGAGACTACATCCAGAATAACAAAATTGCTTTGGACACATTCTGCCATAAATATATGTGTTTTTGTTCAAGAAGGACTTTGGATATAAACCTTTATTAAATCCTTAGTTCCAGAAAATGAGCCTTCCCAAAAAGGGAAGCTATTAGCTCTTTTGTAGGTACCATATTGAATGTGTGGGAATGAAAGGACAAAACTCATGGAACCACAGCTTCCCTTTAATTAGGAGGACAGAATTAATGACTACATGAAATAGAAAAGGGGTGGTCTTATGTTTACTATGAAATAAAGAATAGGTAAGGACATACAACCATACAAAATGATGTTCGGATAACCCTCACAGAAAGCATACACTTGAGTTGCATGTACTGTTGAGACATCCTAGCTAGGTATCGTTGGCATATTTTTCACTTTAACTCACATACTTTAAATGTGCACATCTTTCAACCAGAATTGATGCAGCTGACCTTTACACATAATAGCATTTTATCAGTCTTCATGAAGGGACAGTATTAACCCTTGTAAATCAATCATGTTCATTAAGCAAGAGAATCAGATTAACTGCCAAAACCCATGGTTTTGCTACATGACTCATAAAACTTAATTTGAATGGCTTTCATACAAAAATGTATTATCAAAATAAGATATAATCTGCCCAGGAACACTAAACATATGATACATTTTTTTTCCTTTGGTTCATTAAAAATTCTGTTACAAATAAGCAATTTAGTCTAAAACAGGAGCAAATCATTTCTCTATCTCACAAGATTTTTGAGAAAGGAAAATGCTAAAATAAGTTAAAATGCATTAAATTTTTAAATTATATAGAAAAATATATAATATTGAATATAAATATTGATTTAGATTGTCAAGTTTATCTTAGAGTCCAAAAGTTTTAGTTTCTTAAATATTTGAATGTATCAATATTTTCCAAAAATTTCTGACTTTTACAAGTTTACCCTTATTTTTTCATTATAGGGAATATGTTAGTCCAGTACATAGTCATTTTTGTATGCAGCAAATAATGTTTTTTAATTTTTACATACTTAATTATACGGCAGATGCTTTCTTTGGCTTTCTATACAATTAATAGATTTAATACTAACAATATCCCTGTAAATTAGAGTTACAATATTAAAGTCCTTTCTAAGTTAGATAATAAAGGTGGCTTTTGGTTAGATAACTTCCCAAGGTTTCAGCTGGTAAAGCTGAACCAGGAGCTCAGCAGCATGGCTTCATGTGATTGCACTGCACCCGCCTTGCTGATGGTTAGACATCGCCGCGTCATCAGGCATCCTGGTGATGTTAACGCAGAGATGAAGGAAATGGGGTAGGGAGGAGTGACTGGGGATCTGTGTTCTTTATTCTTAGAGAGATTACAGGACGGGAAAACTAGTGCACCCTTCTCCCTGTGTTTTCTTTCACCTTTCCAAGCCTTCCACCTCTCTTACAGGTGGTACATTAAATTAGAGTGTACTATTTCTGTAAATCAATGCTGACTTTAGAGCATCTCATCCAGTTTATTCCTGTTTATTCCTTTTTTTTTTGCTTAATTAACAATTTGAAATTTACTATTAAGGATTGGTTCCCAAAACTATTGTGCCAATTCAATTTACATGAGAACTATTCCCTGTGTTATACTTAGAGTCACAGAAGCTTTCAGTGACTTTTATTCAGCCAGTAAACTTTGTGGTAGGCTCTGAGATTCTTGGAATTTGGGGGATGTTAACAGACATCCACATAGGACTTAAATTTCCATTTCCTTGTCTACAGAAAATGAGAAACAGCTCAAAACCACTCAGAGCAAACTGGATAACAGGAGGACATGCAGAGACGTGATGTGCTGTCACATCCTTCCTTCTTTCTCATACCTGATACAAGTGCGGTGTGGTGAGGATTTCACAGCCCATGGTCCTGACAGCTCACTTTTTCAGGCAAATGACTTAACATTCTGTCACTTTAAAATATGCATTTACTCATTTAACTGTATTGAAAACTGGAAACAATTATTTACATCCCAGAAAAGTCACACTTACATATTTCCATTTGCCAAACATGAGATTCTGAGGTACATCAAGTCGACAAGGCATGATGATGGTATCTCCATAGGCTGAATTTACAGTGTACCATCCAAGGCCTTGGGAGAGAATGAGAAGAGAAGAGAGACTGGCTGTGATTCCCGGAGTCATAACATAGGAACACAGTGGAATTTCAGGTGAACGATTTTCTTCACTGTTATTTCAGAAAAATAGATTTCACAGAAATATGGGACTATATAAAGTCATGTTTAGAATTCTCAAAACTAGTTTTAAATATATTTCTGTTTCTCATTTGAAAATATTATAAAGTTTATCTTTTGGAAAAAAATGACAAATTATTAAAACCTGAGAACTAATACAAATAATATCACAACTTAGTTTTATTAATAGGGGGAAATAAGCATGAAAATAGCTTATTTTAAAAAGTAACATTTATTAACATTATTTTCAACTTTATATACAGTATTAACATGGTAAATTTTATAGTATGAAAGTTCTTCATAGAGTGTTATGTATAGAGTGACTAGTTGCATTTTGAGTTAGACAACCCAATTAAATCCACAATTTGCTGTTGGTACAGAAAGCTTTCTAGTATTATTTAATTCTTTGAGAAAAAATATATGACAGTAATTGAAATACAGAAAACAATTCACATTGTATATTTCACGAAGTTAAAAAAACTCAAGTATTTAAAGACACAAAGACATACACCATGTGCTCTCTTTCATATGAAGAAGCTAAAAGCATAATCTGAAAATAGAAAGTAATTACCTGTGGCTACACATAAAGGGAGGGAGAAAGGAGTTCATGGAAGCTAGGTAATGAACACTAAAAGAAGATGAGAAGAATAAGTTCTAGAGTTATACAGAACAGTGGGGTATCTAACTCACAATATCCAATTATAGATTTTATAGAACAAGAAGAGAGGCAATTAAAGGCACAAAGTAGTAAAAAGATGAAGATATCAAAGTACAAAGTATTCTTGTTTGATTAGGATATTTTGTATACATGTATTGAAATATCACGTTGCTCCCAATAAATGTGTATAACTATTACTGTGTAGTTGACAAAAATGATTGTAACATTTACATTGGTAATAGTAATTGTGAAATATCTCAGATCTTTTAAATTTGTTTTTTTATGAAGAGCTATAAAATTTAAAAATTTTATTTTCAACTGTGGAAAAAAAACATTTTGTCCACCAGGTGGTGCTAAAGGGCAAAACTAAGGTAACCGGCGGAGTATAAATAAAACCACCTAATGACTTCTGAATAAACAGAACTGGGTGGGTACCACTTGTAACTGCTGTTCAGTGATCGTAGTGTATATTAAAATTTCATCCAAGAAAAAAATAACTTTAGCAAAGAAAAAAGTAATAAAATCCCTACTTTAAAATCTGTAAATTGAGGCTACTTTTTAAACAATTTATCCCAGTGAACAGAAACACTTAACAAAAACTTTATGTTAATATGTTAGTAACACCTATTTGCAAAATTTTATCAATGTTAAATAGAGAATACAAATTATAAGAAGTGAAGATGTGTTCTCACTGATGTACTTAAACTCTTTACTTACACAGTAACACAATGAAAAATGACTTTAATCATTTTCATTTCATGTTTTCCATACTGTAACTATGTATAACTCCATCTAACTTCAAACTTTCAAAAAGCATAAGACATTAAATGAAAAAATTGTCTCCTCAGGTTTGCTAAAATAAAAATGATAGGGGTTTACTGTTTTGGTTTTTTTTCAGTGCTGAAGATCAAATCTGATTCCCACACATGTCAGGCATGGTCTCTACCACTGAGCTAGACTCTCAACCCTCTAAGGGGTTTAGGGATGTGAATATAGACGTGCAGACCAACTGTATATGGGAAATTGCTTTATTTCTTAGTACAATACTTGTTTTCCATGGCTCCTGCATGTGGAATTTCTATTATGTAGTTAAGACATGTTCATACACTACACGGTGCAGGTCTGCCAAGCAAAAGGAACCGATTTGTGATTTCATGTTTTGTTTCCTCTATCAGTTTACAGTATGGTAGTTGAATATGCCATGGCTTCAAGATGGATTGTCTCTATACCTTACATTATGGCAGCACATGCACCTCTAAATGTGTCCTTTCATTATGAAAGCATGCAAGCATGTCTTCCTTTGACAACTCATGGTGCTTCAATGAGGTGAATCCTTTGCAAGGCAAAAGTAAATGAAAATAGTCCTTTCCCAAAACTGTAATGTTTTGCTCATTCTCAGAAAGCAATTTTCTCTTCCGTATATAAGTTTAAATGTGCTATATATACACCAAATTTATAACAAGGTTTAAAGCTGTATGAATTTCAAATGCATAATGCATTATTAGCATGATGAAAACACAATTACAACAGGAAGGGGACCATATATTTTAATCTTTGTGTGTTCAGGAACGATTTCTGGCATAAAATGGGTACCTAATAAAATGATCTCTCATTTGAATGTTGTAGCATTCTTCAATTTTGTTTATTAAATTAATAACTCTGAAAATCATAAGGGAATTGATATTACTGAAACCTTGGGAAGTTAATGGCTATCATGTATTATCTCAGATGTACAAAGCACTCAGATTTTTATTTTTTGGATGGCAATCTCTGTTATGCAGAGGAACAAACAAAAAGCAAGCACTTTTTTTTTTTTTTTTGGAATCAGGAATTGAATTTGGGACCTTGTGCTTGCGAAGTAGGCTGCATGCAGCACCACTGAGCTAAATCCCGGGCCTAGCAAACACGTTTTATAGTTCAGGTGTGGAACTAGAGGGGAGAGAATATTCCCTCCTCCCTTTTTAAGTGAAATTAAAGACTATTTGTGCTCTTTGATTTGCAAATAATACAAGGAAATACTCTCATCTTCTTGTATTGACTATAGAGCAACAAGTTGTTTTTATTGTTTCAAAGTGTATTTGAAAAGGTTGTTGGTTCTTTCACTGCCAATTCTAAATCCAAACTCAGCCAAGCCAGGACTCTGAAGAGCAGAACAAACACAAAGGAAATGAGAGGTATGACAGGAATGAGGAAAGCAGGGACAAGGCAACAGTTAACAGGAAGATGCACTGTTCCAGACCTGTGGCAGAATGCATGAATAACATGTTGGATGGCATCAGGAGCCATATCATACTTAATTTAAAACCGACTTTGAAGTTTGCTATTGTTATCAACTTTCTCTTTCTAGTAAGGGTACACTGACTCCAAGGTTTATCTGACAGAAAGATCAAAGCTTGAATTTGTGGGAGAGCTAAATCTTGACCACCCTAGGGATAAAGGAGCTACTACAGACCGCTGTGATTTGCTAAATTAGCATCCCAATTTCTAAAGACCTCTTGATCTTCAAGATGTAATGCCAGCAAGACCTGAAGCATCTGTCAATATAAATGGTTCTCTTTACGTATTTCACAGAAGAAAAAGCTTTTTATGTTCAGATTATCAAACCTGAAAATTGAGTTTAGTTTACTAGAAATCCCCTAAAATGTTCTCCCTGTGATATTAGCTGGTTCAATTATTATTGGGGTTGTTCCCTATGGATTATTGGGCATTATTGTACAGATAGGATACCTACGAGGTCCTCCCTCTAAAAGGCTAAATGTGGAATGTAAGTTGGAAGTGTATGTTGTGTGTGCACAGTACATGTTATATGTGTGTGTATGCATATGTCATAGGACATTTTACTCTACTAAATGTATTCTATACATTTAAGGCATCTTTATGAATTATTATTACTGCTGCTATCAAAATTTCCTGACATAAAATAAGACATAAAATGTTTATACTTGTGAAGCAGTATGCAATTAGTTAAGCATTTTTTAGTTATTAATCAAAGAAAAGAAATATAATTAGAAATTGTACATAAAAAAGTTGAATAGAAATACTATAGGGTAAGCATAGGATAAAAAAGACCTATTAACCAAATAATCATGACATACAGAATATTAGGCAAGTGACAATGAAATATAAGCTAGTAATATAAACAATTTTAAAAGAGGCACCAAAAGCAGACTCAGGAAATTTTTGTGATTAAGGTGAATTTTTTTAATTAAAAGTGAAATAATTAAACATATGATTCTGACCATTTGGTGACAAATTATTTTTCTATGTAACCTAGTTGTGTGGTTCAATAATCATTCTTTTGCAGTACTGTTGTCGCAGGGAAATATGAAATATATCTTCCAACCTGTTAACTGTGATATGCTGAGTTTTTGTTCTCTAGAAATGGAAGGATGAGTCCTAGAAATGGCGGAGGTTAAAAGTAGGAAGATATTTATTGATAGGAAAGCTCCTGAGGGGCAGGAGGGGTTCCTGAATAGGTAGCCCAAAGACCCCACTTTACAGAGAAGTTTCATAGGGTGAAACTCACATGGGTACAATGTGGACCACAGCCATGAATACCCAACAAGGTTACAATTGTAGTCACTTAGGTAATGGTGGTTCAATTGGGAAGCAAGTCACGTAGCAAGCATGGATGGAAAGAACAAGGATTTTCCCAGGCAGCAGTGGTTCTAGAGGTCTCCGATCACTCCCAGGGTGGTTGATGCCTATCTGTACTCCACTAAGCCCGTTCTCTGAAGAATTATGTGGGTCTGGTCATCTTGTCTTCATCTTGAGGCCTGGCTTTCAGCCAACTCACATACACATTTGAATTATGTAGGTTAAAACTCAGAATCCACTGCCATATCTCAAGCATAAGAATATTAAACAGGATAGAAAATAGAGTAAGAATTGGACGTGGTCTACTTTTGCATGCTTTAATTAAGGATAATCATTAATTATACACCACAAGGTACTTTAATAACATCATAATCCTTAAAATCATGTTTTGAACCCTGTAGTTATGCTAGATGTCATAGATGCTAAGTTCAGAGCTTATGATATAAAAACCAAATTTTAGTTTCACATAATTTCAGAGTCCTATTGAACAAATGACTTACTGCGAAAGGGGTAGGTATAAACAAGGAACTTATCATATTATTTGTATATATGTATTTGATTATTTGATAGACAAATGCACAAATACTCCTATTTGCTTTGTTGATGAATTGGGGTATGTAAAACTGTAATTGAAACTCTGAAT